AATAAATAAATAAATTAATTAATTAATTAATAATAAATACAGTGATTGAATAATACATTCCTCTACTTACCTACATTTCTATTTCCATACATAATCTCTCATTGCCACATACTATTTATTTCTTGTAATTATTGCATTTCAACAATCATCCTGAAAAACCCTTTTTAAGATTATCAATAACCTGCCTTCAGCTCAAGGAAATGGAGACTTAACTGATAAATTTCCTCCAATATTAGAACATTACTCTGTTTCCTTAAAAGTCTCACATTTCTAATTTGCTGTGCATTTTCTTTGGATTTTTCCTTTTGTCTTTTTTCTATATTGTAAAGTCTTATTTATGTATGCATTTTTTTTTAAGATTTTATTTATTTATTTGACAGAGAGACACAGCGAGAGAGGGAAAACAAGCAGGGGGAATGGGAGAGGGAGAAGCAGGCCTCCCTGTGGAGCAGGGAGCCCGATGCGGGGCTCGATCCCAGGACCCTGGGATCATGACCTGAGCCGAAGGCAGACGCTTAACGACTGAGCCACCCAGGCGCCCCTTATGTATGCATTTTTGATAATACCTTAAATATCCTCAAGGGCTAATATTTTACTTATTGTCTCTTGTAAATTATATATTCTCTCAGCTACTTCCTCTAAATCCATTGTTTGTTCTACCCAATAAACCAGTCTGAACTCTAGTTCTTAGTACACAATCCAGATTTCTAATAAGTTTTTGTTTTGTTTTTTTAGTGATTACAGAACTTGTGAGTCTAGAATTCTCACTAAGCTCCAGATAATTATATTCAATTTTCCAGCTGATTTTTCTACTTGGATATCTCATAGCTACTTATAATCAATATATTTAAACTTTAGCTTTTCCTCAGTTCTAACCTCCCACCCACACAGTTATATCTTCATTCCTTTTCACTGGTACCATCACCTGCACAGACAATCTACCTTTGTGTTTTGCCATCTCTACACATTCATAATGTAATTTCTTCTTCCTGATGTATATGTACACACTTCATCAAACTTATATTGGCTAATTCCTACTTATATTAAATAATGCATCTCTCCTTAAAAACCTTAGCTGAACTCCTAGACTATTCTGTATGCTCTGCTTCCACTTATCGCTTTATACTGTAAGAGCTCTACAATTTTTTCTTCACAATACTACTTTGGAGATGGACTTCTAAAAATATTTGAGTAGCCAAAGAGCTGTCAGAAACACTGCTTTATCTTTTTTATGGATTTTTGATTTTGTGAGAAATTTCTTGAACTTCACTCAAAATTTTTACTTTACCAAAAAAAATTTTTCCTGTATAGCATTTAATGGTACTCTTATACAACAAATTCATAAATGTAGATAGATGGTCAAATTTATGCATTCATTGCATGGAGTAAGAAATCAAGAAATTTGATAGAAATGACTATTTAATGTGTTACAATGTTAATAATTTATGTTTCATAGTAGCAATGCACTCATTTAAAAAATGAATGCAAAGTATATAGCATAATGCTTGGCATATGCATGTTTTATTTTAAAGGTTATCTAATATCTTTTCATGATAAAGAAGCCAATTTTATTCACTAATAATAGACTAGTCTTTCTAAAATATATATTGTCCTATATTCCTATGGGGTATTTAAGCATGGCTATGTAATATTGTAAAATTTTTTTAAAGATTTATTTATTTGACAGAGACAGAGATAGTGAGAGCAGGAACACAAGCAGCAGGAGTGGGAGAGGGAGCCACCCAGGTGCCCTAATTTTGTAAAATTTTTACCAATTATATTTTTGTCATTTCAATTATTTTAGTTATTACTGTGAATGGGAAATATTGACAAAAATTCTTTTTTTTTAAAGATTTTATTTATTTATTTGAGAGAGACAGTACAAGCAGGGTAACGCACAGAGTGAGAAGCAGGCTCCTCACTGAGAAGGGAGGCCAACACATTGCTCAATCCCAGGACCCCAAGATCATGACCTGAGCCGAAGGCAGACGCTTAACCGACTGAACCACCCAGGTGCCTGACAAAAAAATATTTCTATGAAACAAAATGTTTCCCAATGAAGTATGTACCTTACAAATAGATAGGGTACATATAAAGGTTTTATTTCTCCAACACTAAAATGCCAAATATTCTGAAGCAATTGAGAAAGCAATTTAATAGTCTTTATATAAAGCTATACTATAAAACTTTCCAGTTTTCCATTGAAAGAACAACACCAAGAAAATATTTTACTCTCCATTACAACTTAAATTTTTACCTTGCCCTCTTCAATGTGCTTCAAGATTTACAGCTTCTGACATCCTCCTCATAATACCTATTATATCCAGCCAGTGAGCACTTAATTGATAATGATGAAAATCATCTATCTGTGGCATATGTTGAACATCTGTTTCAGACTATAATTTTAAATTTATGCCTTCTGTTTAAAACTGAAGCATTGAGAAAATGAGTTTTCATTTTTCCAGTTATATTTTTAATTGTTGGCTGACCAATGTGACTGAAACTATAGTAGAGACTTTCACTTTTGAAACTGTATCAGAAGAATATGGAAGAATAGAAGCACAACCCATTATAAATTGACCTATAATATATTTGTTTTCTAATTTGTGTGTATTCTATAAATACTCATCTCTGCAGTCATGTGGACATGCATATGTAATTTGCTAAGCTTCAGACATCTAACCAGAGTTTACTGTTAAATCAAATGTTCAGTTGAGACCTATCTGCTAATCTTTGCCTCATAAATAGTTATTATGAAAAGGAAAAGAGTGAACTTTGAAAAACTCCTGCTTACAAGCTGTTTTGCCTTGGCCAAAATTAATGTACCTCATCTCTCTGAAACCAGTGAGACTTCTCCATATTGTGGATATTTTCTTCTTTCTTCCATACAGTATCCTTTTCCCCTGCTTTTAGGAAAATGATCCTCTATTTCTGATATAGGATTCTATATGGTTCTGGGGAAGATCCTGTTCATAGAAATTTTCTCTCTTCTTGCCTACTCTTCCCTGCCATCAGTTGATGGGCAGATGATTCAATCATGGCAATTAGGCTTTAGCTCTTGGTAAGTTAAATTTGAGGGCAATGTCACCTTGAGATAATGCTAAAAGTGAACATCCACAAATACACAGTCCATGGGCTCCTGACTGAATTTCCTAGAGCTGTGAAAATTCCTGCCATTTATTAAAAATAGTAATTAGCTTTTTCTTTCTTTCTCTCTCTTTTTAAGTTATAACTATTTGTTAAACTAATTCCCTTTTTATTTTTATTATTCTATTTTATTTTTGCTAATTCCCTTTTTAAAAATTACATCAGCTAGAGTGGATTTCTGTTACTTGAGACAAAAGAATTCTTACCAATTCAGTACTCCACAGTTATTGTGATAATTAAATTTCATTAATTGAAATAACATGTGAAATTGCCTATTTAATAGGTGATTCTAACAGAACAGGCTGAATAATTATTTTTTACCACCTTTGTTACCCTAGCATCTTCCCCAATTCCTATTAGCTGCTTTTATGATTTTTGTAAGCACTTGATGAGTTTTGTTTTAGTATTTGGGAATCACGAAATGTCAAGCCTCAAATTTTGCCTGGTCTGAATTAGATTTATCCAAACCAGTATTCTCATCTTATAGAAATGAAAAATCAATTAAGGATTTACAAACCTGTCCTTGTATTTGAAGAAGTTGGCCATGACCATGATTTTTGCAAGTACCTTTTTCAAGAGAAAAACATGACTCATTAAATTCATAGATTGTACTAGAGATGTTTTTGTGACTGTAACCTGCAAATTTTGATGCATTATTCCAGTATCTTAAATAATGTGCGTCACGCAATAGGTACTGGGTAAATCTCTCGAGGGAATTATCATTTTCAAATGTTTTTGCTATTTGTAATTCTATTCCTTAGATTTACATCATTACAATCCCTTTGTTTTAAATGAACCACAGCTTTCTTCTCTAATTCACAAAAAAAGTAGCAAATGAACTTAGGTTAGCAAAGACATGAAAGAATGTGTAAATAAATATGGGTTAGGGACACACACACACAGAGAGAGAGAGAGAGAGAGAGAGAGAGAGAGAGACACACATACACAGAGATAGGTTATCTATTCCATCAATGTGGTTCATGATGAAAGATCTCCTCACCATATCTCTGGAGATAAATTTTATTTATCAATTCTGTTTTAAATGGCCACTCAATGCAAAATTTAGAGTACTTTTCTTAAAACATGTGTAATATTAAAATGAAATTAAGCCTTCAAATTGGCTATCAGGAAACTGTAATTTTAGAAATAACTTTTTTTTCTTCTCATATGTACGGTACAACCAGAGTTGATTAACACAGCATAGATGCAAATATTGTAAGGTGGAATAATATTAATGTTGTAAATGAGTATAAACACATATACCATTATCATTATGTATATTAATTTTAAGTAATGCATAAAAGTATATGTTTGTTTAAAATTAATAAAATTTACCATAAAAATATATGGCTTACATCACAGAAATCTGCTAATGTGGCAATATAACAGTCTTATAAATAGACTGAGGTGTAAGGAAGAATAGATCTAACACCTAAAGTAGAAGTTGAATCTGTTATTTTTCCCTCCAGCAACAACACTCAGATTTATTGAATGGTTACCCACTTACAAATACAAGACAGAACTGCAAAACTAGTTACATCAAATATAATGTTGTTGAGAATTTAGCAAGCAACTCCATGGTATTGCTATTTCGATAACCACTTTATGTGGCAAAGCAGTTGGCAGGGACCTTAAACCAATACTGGCACCCTCATGCAAGTGCTAGCCCTAGATAGCAGCCCTCAGAGTCACAAGCAAATGCAAGTTTATGATAGGACTTCCTGACAGTCCTTATAATCACCAGTCTCCCCTGCCTCCCAGATCCTCCCTCTTGTGTGCCTCTTAGATAAGACCCATATGGGGCTAACAAAAACCCTACTTGCTTGGTTTGAAATGACCAATCCAGCCTTAGCTCAGGAACCCCAAAGCACTCACTCATGGACCCTAAGTCATATGCCCCAGCAACTAGTGTTCTCTCCCTGCATTCTGTCTTGACTTCCTTGAGTGGTCCCTCCAGGCATGACCTGTTCTGCCTCCAGGATCTGTGAGTAACAAATTTCTCTATTTTAATTTCTCTTGTGGTCTCTTACTGAATGGCAGCTCACCATCAAGCACCCTGTGCTCCACTCGACAAATGTAAAAGCAATTAAAGAAGGTTGTTTCCAAAGATTAAGAAACATAAAGAAGATTGTTGGCACTGAAATAATATCTGTGGACATCCAGCCCAACTCACTATAAAGGAAATTAAGGTGCAGAGTGATCAATAAATTGGCTTAAATGTATACAGTTGGTTTTTTGAAGAATTAGGGCTTCTGTCTCTTCTCCCTGGCTTTGTCTCTCTTTCTGGGCTTTTCTCCCTGGTCATTCCTTTCCTTGAGCAATTCCCTCCACAGATGAGTACATTTATATCTCAGATTAAGTACCAGATCTTTAGAAGAGATTCTGGCCAATTAAAAGTAACTGACTTCTCCTCACCCCTACCAGTAGCTTTTTATTGTTGTTAAGCTATTATTTTGTTTTTAACATTTAATGTCTAAATTTTTTTTTCCTCTGGCTCTCTCTCTGTCTTTCAAGCTTCTTGGAGATTGGGGCCTTACCTCCCTTTTCAGGGCCATATAACCGATAACAGTAACACATAGGGAAGTATTTAATAAATACTTTTGTGATGACTTGTTGCATATTGCTCACATCAAAAATATCAGCTCATCAGAGGCTTTTTCTCACCATCCTGTCTGAAGTAGTAGCCCCCAGTCTGTCACCAGACCCTGCCAGATGCTACTGTAACTGAACAGCCTGTTAATAGAAAAAATACTAAATTATGTAGCACATTATATATTCACCATGTGCTGCACATAATTTGACAATTTTAATCAAATCAGTATGTGCAAACTAATAACTTTTGCTATTAATTATATATACTTACTGTCTATTGATCAAATTAGCTAAACAAGTTCTCTGCTATGTAGAAATACTTCAAATAAAAACTGGAAAAATAGCTCATCAAACATACTGCTAATATTGAGATATACTTTCTGTACTTCCGTTTCCTTATCATTGAAATGATGATGATAATAGTACCATTCTTATAAGGTTATAAACATTGAATAAGTGACTAAAAATAAAGTCCTCTGTAGACTGACATACAACAGAAATTGAATAAGCATTAGTATTTGTTAAAATGTAATCTCCATTTATATTTCTAATGATGTTTTAAAATTTAGATGTTGATTATATTCAGGCAATAAACAATTTTACTTATTTTTTTTTAAGATTTATTTATTTGAAAGAGCATGGACTCGATTGGGGGGGAGGAGTAGTGGGAGAGACTTCAAGCAGAGTCGCTGCTAAGCGCAGAGCCCCACACGGAGCTCCATCTCATGACCTATGAGAGATCACAACCTAAGCCAAAACCGAGTCAGAGACTTAACTGACTCAGCCACCCAGGCGCCTCTTATTTGTGTTTAATTGTTTTGGGGTCATGAATACCTCTAACTAACAATAAAGCCAATTTATTATTTTACCAATGACCAAGGATTTTTACTTTCATAACATTTAACATATTAAATGCATTTTCCCTTACTATCCATTAGGCTATATTTCAGTGTTGTTATTAAACACACAACTCTAGCAAAAAAGATGATATGGCTATGAATGGCAAAAACACTTGTTTTTATAAAACTCATTTGATGACCTCATTTTATCTCCACTATTATTTTATTGGCTAAATCTTTATTTCTTGGGTTGTGCTCTAGAGCATGGTGCAGAAAAAATGAATATGTGACATAGACTATATGTAGCCTACAAATTCTAAAATATTTTTATCTGGCTTTTTTCAGGAAAAAAAATTTGCCAGACCCTCAAGAGCTACATATACTTTTATCCTTCCCTCTCTTCCTCCTTTTGTGCCTCTACGATCACTATTTTTGCTTTTTATCCTTCTCCTATTTCCTACCTTTAGATAGATTGATGATAGACAGACAGACAGACACGCATAGATGTAGATCTTAAAAAATCAAAACAACATTCCTAGAAACTAGGGCAGGGCCAGACTTGTCCCCTGCCTCAGGCCATAATTTGCTAACCCTTAGTCTTGATTTTACAATATACATATTAAATAGATCATAATCTACCTTTAAATTATATTATACTGTTTCTCAAATAGTTTACTAATATTATAATAGCACAGTTCCACCCTCCTACATATCTTATTCATTCAAAAGTACCCTGTTGCATTTTTATTATTTTTGCTTTAGATGGTTAATAATTGTTTAAAGAGATTTAAAATAAGAAAAATATATTTTATATTTATTCAGAAATTAACATTTCTGGCCTTCTCCATTCTTTTCATCTAAAGCCATATTTCTGCCCTGGGGTGCCTGGGTGGCTCAGCTGGTTGAGCATCTGATTCCTGATTTCTGCTGGAGTCATGATGTTAGGGTCCTGGGATGGGTCCCGGTGCAGGCTTCACGCTCAGTGGGGAGTCGGTTTGAGGATACGCTCTCCTTCTCCCTCTGCCCTTCCCCCCACTCATGCTCTTTCTCTCTAAAATAAGTAAATAAATCTTAAAATAAATAAATAGAGCCATATTTCCATCTGTTTGTTTCACTTTGCATTTTGTCTGAAGAACTCCCTATCCCATTTCCTATGGTATAATTCTGGCTCTGAATACTTTCAGCTTGGGTTTATCTGAAAAGTATTTAAAAAAAAATTATTTATTTTAGAGAGAGAGAGTGCATGTGTGCAGGGGTGAGGGGCAGAGTGAGAGGGAGAGAGAGTCTTAAACCGACTCAGTGCTGAGCACAGAGAGGGACACAAGGCTCAATCTCACAACCCTGAGATCATGAACTGAGACAAAACTGAGCTTGAAACTTAACTGACTGCACCACCCAGGCACCCCATGAAAAGTAATTTGCCTTAAGTTTTGAAAAATATTTTCTTGGTGTATAAATTTCAGGTTGACTGCTTTTTGCTTGTTTTTTTTGGCACTTGTTTTTTCACAATCATTGTCCTTTTCCCCCTTCTTGTCCAGCATGCTGTTCATTCTATCAATTTTATTTTGCATTTGAGATGTTTCATTTTTCATCTCTAGATGATTTAGAGCTCTTTATATTTTCCATTTTTCTTTCCATTATGTTTGTTCTTTCCCTTTATCTCTGAAAATATTTGTAATAAACATAATAGCTGTATTAAAATGTTTTCTTACTAACCCATCATCTCTGGCATATCTAGTTCTATTTCTATTAAATGTTTTTTCTGGTTATGGGTCCTATGTTCTTGCTTTATTACATGCCTCATTTTTAATTGGTGTCTGACATTGTGAATTTTGTATAGTGATTACTGGGATTTTATAGCCTTTGTAAGAGTCTTAAGGCTTTGTTTTGGCATGCAGTCAACTTACAAATCAGTTTGATTCTCTATATTTTTAAGCTTTGTTAGGAAACAGAATAGACTTTAGGGCTTTGCAGTGAAGGCATGAATCTTCTGAGAATTCTACCTAATTCCCTTTTATTACAAGGACTCTTTATTCTGACACTTGGGGACATGAACGATTTTTGTTTTACATCCGCTTAGACAATTGTTCAGCCTATTGCTTTCTAGTGGTTCTTTTCCAACATCAAGAAATATCACCATGTACAAGAACAGATCAATGCAAAGCCAAAGAAGTTAGGAGATTCCTCTTCACATCTCCAAATTTTCTGTCTGCAGGTCTCTAATCACTGGTACTTTGCTCCATGAATTATAATGGCTTTGGCCTCCCTCCATCTGCCCAAATCATTGAGTCATTGGGTCCTGTTTGTATTTTTTTCTCCATTCACTGCAGCCTTGAAACGGCCTCCAGGCAGTATCCTGGGTAAAAATTAGGGTTCAATTATTGGTTTCTCTTCCCTAGGGGACAAAGTTGTGTGATAACTCTAGTTCAATGTGTATAAACTCTTGTTTCATATTTTTTGTGAAGGGAGGGCAATGTCTCTAACCATAAGTCCCCCACAGTTTGAAGCAAGGGTCTTGATACAATTTTGATTTAGTATCTTGGCCTATAAAAGTGTCAATTTTAGAGGTTTATTCTTGGGTTTTCCACTACAATAGCTATTATCTGACAGGCCATGAAAACAACATGTGCATTCAGTCGAGTATTTTAGACAGGCACATTAATGTTGGTTTGTAGACCCACTAGATCCACTGTGAGCTGGACCTGGTCCAGGACTCAACTTATTACCTATCTCCTATATGGTCCATTCTAACAGAAGGCCATGGCAATGTCTGAGTCCTTTGATATTAAAGCTGAACTAGGCCCAGTATTCAAAATTTCACAAAACATCGCCATTTTTTTGCCCCCACTATATTACTCATGTTAATGGACATAGTCTCCCTAAGGAAAGACATAGAGAAAAGTTATCATATGCATTTGTTATGGTGATACAGGATTCTCTTTCTTAGGGACCAGACTCTACATTTGATAATGGGTTCTGGAGCTGAGTATATGCTCAGGACTAGAAAGTAGGCAAGATATTGCGACTCTTTACTTCTGCCACTGTTCTAAGTCTCCTGGTTTATTTTATAAATCAATTAATCTTTATTCCCATGATGCAGACTGTAAAATTTCTTTGTTGCTACCCATCCGTCTTTTCCCCAGGGACACCATGTTCCAGTAGCCATCTTTTTTTTTTTTTTTTTTAAGATTTTATTTGTTTTTTGACAGAGACAGCGAGAGAGGGAACACAAGCAGGGGGAGTGTGGGAGGGAGAAGCAGGCTTCCCGCTGAGCAAGGAGCCCGATGTGGGGCTCGATCCCAGGACCCTGGGACCATGACCCAAGCCGAAGGCAGACGCTTAACAACTGAGCCACCCAGGCGCCCCTCCAGTAGCCATCTTGATAGCTCTGTACAAGACAAGCTCTCTGGTTGCCACTCTGTCATTGTCACTAAGATAATTGTCTCCCCCTTATTTCTGATGATTAAAGGCCATTATATGAATGCTATTATATTGGGATCCTATGTTCACCTTTACTTTCAGGATCCAGTTCTTAAACTCTCCTAGCCTCAGC